GCAGTACTAAGTTCTGAGCATGGCCACAAGTTCTGCAAACTGTGCCAAATGCATGGTTACCTGCTTACTCTGATCTCTGCTGAGCTACATGGTTCTTCAAAAATTAAGTGAAGTGTTCGGGCCAGAGCCATATGGACAGATACTGCAATCAGTAGAACTGAAGGCCCGAACTCCACAGGTGGAAGCAGAGTTGCCATGAGCTCCACTTTGCAGTCCACTGACAGTTGCATTGCTACAAGTCAGGAGAGGCTCTCTGGCATCACTGGTGGCCACTGTCATGGTAGCCACAAGAAACCCCCCGAGACTTACTGGAGGAGGTTAAGAAAGGATTCAGTTTTCCTCTGTTAAGTTTTGGGCAGTGACAAATGTTTTTATTCAGAGGTAGGATTATTTTTATAGTCTTTGTTGATTGACTTGATATCACTAAGCAGGGCTGGCTTTGTGAGATTGCACAACAGGGTGGTACACACTGGAGAAGGGTAACAGTGCCACCCATGGCAAAATGGCATAAGGACCCCTTAGCTAGCTGAGTAGGCAAAGGTGAGGTGATTCTATGTACCTCAGAATCTCCAAACCTTATCACTTTCTTTGATTATCTTCCTTTTGAAATATTTTTTGTCAAGAAAGGAATGGTTTAGAGAAATAAGGATATATTTGCCTTTTTCCCATTCTTTCACTTGGCGTCAATTCCCAGAGATGTCAAGATAGCTCAGCAGGTGGCACTGAAGATAATACAATCTTACCAAGTCAGTGGCATCAATTTCTACATCAGCTATTGCTTATCATTGTCTTGCTTGGGATAAGTCTTGTCTCATGGAAGATGCTGGACACTACTCAGGCTCCTTACAGTCATGCCATGGCATGAATGACTGTGACTCTGCAGTGGCAGCAAGAGATTATATTGCTTAGTTTTCTTTTGCTAGAAAGCACAGTACCTACCTTCAGGCTAATGTGTACCTTCTCTTGTCACAGTACTCAATACCACATCCTACAGTCAGCAATGGTGTCAGCTTTATGGATATTTGGTGCCACAAAGCTGTGCTAAGGGACTCCAGAGTGATTAAGAATTGAGGCCAAGAGTACAAGGGTTCAGATAATGCCACACATCACAAGACTACCTGATTGATTTCTAAAACCATTTGGATCCAAAGCTATAGCTGTAGCCACAGTAGATTTTTTTTTGTGTGTGGGTTTGGTTTTCTTAATATGTAATTCCTATGTCATTTTCATTTTCTCTAATATGTCTAGTAGCTCTGAGTCCTCTAAAGGCAACAATGGCTCTTGGGAACCCTTGGTTAAAATTCTGCTGCCAACACGATGAGAGCTTTAGGATCATTTCCTGGACTGGGACATCAGCTCATCTCTGAATACAATCAAAGCTGCCAATATGTATCTATTGTGCCTATTTTGATACACATAAGGACCACATACAAAACTAAGAATAGCATCACTGCTGACAGGAAAAAAACCCAGTCTCTGTGCCACCTACTCACGATGACTATTGTACACACAGATTCATAACTCTAAATCTCAGGAAAACAAATCTTGCTGGTTTTGGATAATAACTTTGTTAAGAATAAATTCACTGAAGGAAATGGAAAACTGTAACTAATACTCTATCAGCATAGATCAGAGATGAGATCTAGGGCAGTATGTGTGATTTCTTTTCCTGGAAACACCCTGAAAGAACCCAGTTTTTCAGAAGGCAGGTGATTTGAACCTCAGCTTTCTTTCATACACCTAAGTTTTAAAACACTAGTTACTGTAGAAATCATGTGTTTGGTCTCTAATACAATTAATTCAGGTCTTTTGCAAGCAAGCGTGTCAATGAAGTTCCTAAGCGAAACCTAGGACAAGTCTGTTAGAAAAGTCAGATGTAAATGTCAGGTGAGCAGATCCATACTGGCAAGGGCAGCAAACACCAACTTTTAACATTTAAAATGCTTTTAAAGGAGAGAAAGGGAAAAAAAAAGAAAGAAACATTTTTCCTGTTGTGTTTTTGAAGGTCATGCTTTCCTCCATTTACAACTGTTGGTGGTTGGTGGGTATAAGCTGACTAAGCTTTATTGTGGTTATCATCTCAGGCAGCAGAATTTAGTCATATGGGCAACTGAACAGTACAAGGCATGAACAAATTCTGAAAAAAGTATTCTAAAACGAGCACAGATACTCTGCAGGTAAGGCATTCATTTACTCAGTAGTTATACCCATCAGGCTTTGGACATTAGAACTTGAGTAGCATTTGAGTGTTTTCAAAGTGCATGATGGCTTGGGACTTTGCACCAACTTGTCTCAGCGTGATAAGGTCTTTCCTGATCTATACAGGCACCAAAACCAAGCATGACAATTGTAACACAATAGTTAAAAACACGGAACAACCCTGCTCTTGTTACAAGTGGGTGGACAGCTTAAATTTGTAGCCTTTGATATCCTGGCTTGCACTTACACTTAGTTAACACACGAGTTAATTCTTAAGACTTTAAATCATTCTTTTAAAAGATCTACTGGTTTATGTGAGCTGCTTAGCTGCCCTCGCAGTGTACTGAGGCTGGCTGTTGGCAAGCAGGAATATCATCCTTCTCCTATCTCTTTCCTAGGCACACCTTGGTCCACTGAAGATATTCTGATGCCACCCGCAGGAGGACGCAGGTACTTACAGCATCTCTCTGCCCTATTAAAGAGTGCTTTAGCAATACTAGCAGGTAATATTAGCAAGCAGAGGAAACGCTAAGGCATGTAGCTGTGTGGGCACGTAACTGCAGGGTGAGATTCGAGCCCTTATAGGATCCGTGCCACAGAATGAGAAGTATTATTTAAGTGTTGGAGTGTAAGATAAAGAACAGAGAGCTCACACTTCATCTGGACTCAGCTAAACACAGATGGAGGTTAGATCCTGCTCCTTCTCACTGTCCTCTACTGCAGGTTATCCCACTGGTAAGTTCCAGCCTACAGCTAGACCACAAATACATTTTGTGGAAGTCTTGCCAAAGTCACAGATTCATGAGGTCTCCCTTATTCCTGCAGGGCATCCTGTGTTTCTTGCTGTTTTCTAAAGAGTCGAGCTAAACATGAAGCATCCTGGTGTGCAAAAGGCTGTTAGCAGGAAGCAGCTCCAGTGAGCTGTCACAGCTCCCAGCCATGACACAGCATGCAGAATCTAGGAGTCAAGCAGCCTTGCCCAGCAGTTATTCTGGGACAGTCAACCTGGCTTTGTATTAATACACAGTTTTCCCCTGGAGGCTTCAGCCATGCACTTCTGTGCAATATGATTCTGCTGTTATTAAGCTATAAGACTTGTGAGATCCAAGTAAAACTAAGGGTAATCTTGACTTCCTGGAGAACTTCATTAGCTTAGTGGTTATGCTATTATGTACTGGGTGCATAAGGGAAAAAAAAAATCACAGCTTTACAGAAACAGTAACAGAGAAGAGGTAAGCAGAAAAGACAAGGGAAATCATATTGTTTGTTGTATTTAGATGAGTTTTGTGTAATTCTTACTGTACTATAAAAGTAATTTATGTTTATTTCTGTGAATGCATAAATAGAAAGACTAATCTTTGATTTTAATGCTGTGAACAAATTACTAATCAGCAGGATCTTTTGCATAATATGCTCTGTAAAATGCTGCGTTTTGTTGCACTTTATCAGCAGTTTGAAAAAAAATCAGGTTTACAATGTATAATTATAACATTTGCAGTAGTATCATATTGAAGTCGCTAATCAGAGAATCAGGGGGTTCTGACAGAAGAGTTCAGCTACATCTCAAGAGGTGACTCTTACCATTTTTAATTTGGAAGACTTGTGATGAGTGTTCCCGATTTGGGCTAGCAAATGTGTTTGCCTACCTGTTCTCTGTTTGACACCTCACAGTGCTCAGGAGTAGTAGTCCAGGTTTTGCCAGCTCAGAAAACACCTGGCATCAAGTTCATAGCATAAAATTAACTTGTTTCTGTCTTGCACTCCTTCTCTTTCCTGAAAAATTTTCATAACTGGAGGTACCTTTTTTTCAAAACGGTTTGTGTTTATATCTTTATGCCTGTTTGGGGGATGACTGCAGCATGTGTATCTCAGTGGACCTGCTCTGGGAACTCTATCATTTTTAAATTGGTGTGTCTTAGATCTATGAATTTTTATCTTCATCAGATTCTTGTGAGATAGGGAAAGGAAATTAGATTATACGGGTGGGGAGCTATGGCACAAAGATGCTGTATTCCACAAATATTTGGGGATTTGTTTAACTGACAAATGTAAATCCAATTCCCTGCGTAATCTGAGGATTTCTGGGAAGCCAGCCAGATTTTTCACAAGAACACACTTTGGCATTGACACAGTTGCTCAGTAGATCAAGAACTGAGTGGCTGCCATAGGTAGGCAAAGTCAAACAGTGAATCCTGATATCCCAAGTCCTTGAGCTGTTTTTTGGCTGTAAGAACTCTCTTTTCGCTTAGTTGGGGCCATCCTATCCCATCTCCCTGTTAGGAGATCTAGCGAGGCACTGCGGAGTCAGCAAGAACCCCAATGCCAGGGGGAGAGTGGCCTCTCAGCAACCACTCAAGCCTGTTTCACTCTCGCAGGCTGGCACTGCTGCCCCCCCCCGCTTGTGGGCATTTGTGCTTCTGCCAGCATGTGGGTGTTAACAGCCCGAATTTAACCTAATGCTCAACTTGAACCACTCGGCTCATTGGAAATACTGGTTGGACTTAGTTAACCCCACACTGGCGGCCGCTCAGCAGCGCAAGCAAATCGCATCTCCTCCCCAGGTGTGCTGAAACGGCACCAGAGAAAAGCTCGGTGCTCCCAGCTCGGCGGGCAGAGATGCGCACGGGAGGCCTGGAGCATCCCCGGCGCCCCCTCCGTGCCCGCCGCCCCCCGCAGGGGGCGCTGCCGCGGGCTCCGCGGGCACCGCGGCTCCGGCACCGCGGGGCCGGGGCGGCTCCGAGCGGGGGAGCGCCCGGCGCGTCCCGCCCTCCTGCCTCCTCCCTCTGTCCCCTCCCCTCGGCGGCAGTGGTGGAGCTGCAGGGCTCCCCCGCTTTTCTTCACATGGGGCTCGCCCTGCGGGCGGGACAGCGCTCCTGCCCTCCCGCCGACCGCTGAGAGGGACCCGGCGCGGGCGGAGGGTTCTCGCCGCCACCGGCGGGCAGGTAGGGACGGGCGGCGCTCCCCGAGGGAAGTCGGGCGGCGGCGGCGGCGGCGGCGGGACGGGCGGGACGGGCTGTGGTGCCCCGGCCGGCGGTGCCGGTCGCGGAGCGGGGCGCACGTGGAGCGGGAGCCTCTCATCCCGCCCTCCTCCCTCCTTCGGCGCCCGCCCTTCGCCAGGGTCTTCCCGCCGCGGCTTCGTCGTGGTCGCGGGACCCCCGCCGGTCACTTGTGGACGCATCGCGGGTGGGTTCTTTTCCCGGGTGCCGCGGGGAGCCCCGCAACTTCAGGGAGGAACCCGGGCGGGGACGCCGGTCTTCCCCGTTCGCCCAAAGGGAATGGAGTTTATTTAAAGAGCTGTGGATCTTCCCCTACCCGTTCCATCTTTTAGCTGTCAGGAGAACAGGTCCGTTATTTGTGAAATTATTTTATGTCAGTTTAGGTCTTGTTTCTTTTTTCCTGTACACTACCAAATACAGAGTGCTGATGAGATTATTTTCTGTGGTTAGTAGTTTAACACAGGACGAATTCCTTATGCCTTTAAAGTGAGCGTTATGGGTTTGTCGAGTTCATAATCTTATGTTCTCATAGCTCAAAATAAACCTTTTCATTAAAAGGGAGAAAACTGGATTCAGTTTTCGCAGCTTTTGATTGATGAGATCTCCCTCGTGGAAATCAGCAGGGAGTTTTGCCTGATTAAGAGCTGCAAAATTTTCCTGAGGTTTGTTACACAACTGGCTGTAGTTGTGCAGTACGGGCTCAGTTAGGTAACTTCGCATCTGAGTCTTGTTTTCACTGGTCCAGCTGAAGTACTTTCAAGTCAAATTAGGTTCAGTGCTCCTCTTTAAGCCCTCTCCGCTCGACGGGTCCAGGGGAGTGGAAGGATTCTTTTACCTGCTTCAAAGAAGAGTAAGCTTGTTGGTTAAACAGAGAAGCAGGTGATACTCATTGGAGATAGCGATTGCAATTTAGAAATGCTCTGTGTGTTTTGCTGGCAGTGCCAGGTCAACTGTTTTCATCCTGGAGGTGTTTTATTTTGCTTGTGTTGCTGTTGAGCCTCAGAAGCTCTAGTCAAGAACCAGAGACTCAGCTGTAATAGAAGATGTACAGGCATGCATGTAATCACAGTCTCTCACCAAAAAGCATGCTTTCTAGTGTGGTTATGCAGAAATGTTACAGAAAACAGAGCATTGCTCCTCAAAAAGCTTGGAGGTTGCAATTTCCACACTTGTGAGCTGACTATTCAGTTACTGCTGTTCTGTTTTTTTTCTGTGCTGCTAAAATACCTGACGGTAAGCAGTTTACAGAATCTAGTCAGTTGTTTGTGGAACTTTTGTTGTTGTTGCAGCTGCAAGAGTTCTGTCAAATTGTTTGGGTTCTTTTTTAAGACATGAAAGTAAGTAAAATAAAATGGAAACTTCCTTGCATTTTAAGTGGCAGCAACACAGGATCAGACTTGGTGAGGGTGGAACAAACAAAACCCAGTGCTTTTCTTTGTGTTGTAACTATTTTCAGATAAGAAAACCTCCTTTGCGATGGCATTTCACAAGTTTGTTCTTGATTCCTTGAAATTTCAGGTGGTGAAAGTCTGATCAATCTAGCTATTCAAGCGAGGAAAAAACATTGTAGTGTGGTATGTGGAGTTCAAATGCACATTACTGGAAAGCTACAAACAGCCTTAAAGTAATCCTTTGTGAGGCAGGAACTCAGGCATGTGCTGAACAGCTTTCCTGAGTTAGGACAATAGGAAACAAATTGTGTATCACTAGAGTTAAAAGTATTCAAGAAAGCTGTTAATAACATTCAAAAGGAGGTTCTTAATATACATGTGAAAAGCATTATCAGTTTGTGTAGCTCAGCAGCCACTGCATCATGTTGAATTGTCCATCTTCTAATCTTTGGGGGGAGATTTTTCTAAAACAGGGTGCTTAAATGTACCCCAGTTTGAAACACTGAACTAAGGTGAATTACGTTAAGTAATTCTGCCCAAGAGATTGGACATTTGCACCTTGGACTGAAAAATTACCTTCTTAGCAGTGTACCAAAGCTTGGAGCTCTCCATACGCAGAGAAGCTGATGGAGTATACATGGTGGTGTTACATGTTCAGTGCTGGTTTATAGGAGACATTTCTATGGCAGCTATCACTCATATATCACATTTGCTGATTTGTCTTCATGGGGTGGGTTAGGAAAGTACTGTGGATGCGGACAGACTAAGTGCCTTGCCGAGTTGCTTGGGAAGTTTGAAAGACCAAGATGTTGAAGCCAGGTGGAAAAAGGCAATCGACTGACTGGCAATCTTACCTGGGTTGTCTGCCTCTTTTGCTAGAGATTGTTTAAATTATGTTATAAAATACAGCTATTTCTAGGTATTGCATTCAATGGTTGGCTGACAACATTCAAAGTTTAAAAAATGTTTCTTTTATTATATACCTTTCTATGTCTTTGTATGCACTTGGTGTTTGGTAGGCATTGGTATTTTATTATGCTGTCATAGCTTCCCTTTTCCTAGGTTAATTATTTTAATGTTTTAAAATCATCTAGTAGACTCCATGCGAAAACACTGTTAATGGACTGTTAGAGTGGTAGAATTTGAATGTGAGATAGCCAGTGGTCAGCATTATGGTTCCTGATGCAACCATTAGTCAGCAACACTTTGCATAAATAGCCAACCTAAAATTTAATGTATCTTGTTGGAAAGGTGACTTTAAGCAAGCAAGAAGTTCTAACTTAATGATGAAGGATACATGCCTACAAAGAGCTGTGCTGAGGTTGCTGTGAAAATGGTAGGTTTGGGGTTTAAGCATTTGTGACTCAAATTTTAAGTCCACTTTTGCTCTTAAAAACCACAACATACAACTTTAAAGAGCAGCTAAATGTTTTCAGGTTTTTTACAAGATGCATGACAGCAAAACCTGCATTGGTAAGGCACGCTGCTCTGAGGAGCTCTGCTTTTGTCTGCCCGTGGAACTGAAGCATCCTTTGCTGGTGCAGTTGAATGTGCCACCAGTGCTAATTGATGTCAGAGAGAGGGGTTTATTCACTGTAGATTCAGTTTTCTGTGGCTGAAGACCCTCATGTTTTCTCCCACTAATCAGCCATTTGTAGTTTCTGTCTTTAAGAAAATGAAGTTGTGTTGATTTACTTCTGCTTATGCTTTTGTGCTGCAAGCACTACACAGCTGTGAAGTTGCCATCTAGCTCTGATTCAGAAACATATTCTTCTTCCAAGTGGTGTGCATGTCCTCAAACAGCTCTGATTCTCAAAGACAGGTAAGTGGCATTTGTGGCCTAGAAAAAGCTGCACAGAGATAAGAGGAGCTACATGCATGCTTAAAAACTAGCACATGCCCAAATGTTTTGGTGAATAAGCTTGAATGCTTTGCTGAATCACAGCTGTGAGTGTGCAGAAACACTGTACCTACAGCGTCTGCTGCAGCTGAGTACAGTGCTTGGAATGGATTTCAGGGCAGGTGTTCAGAGACCATCTGAACACCAGAAGTGAACTAGGAGTGGGATTGTACATACTACAGACAAGAATGGAAACATAACATTGCAAGTGGCTTTACTGGAAATTTTAGCAGGACTCCTCTCTTTCTCTCCAGGACTTCTCTCTTCACTCAAATACAGAGTGAAACCTGATGCAGTAAATGAACAAATTCCCATTGATTTCCTTCAGAAAATAATTATACAAAGGGTGTGTCCAAGTAAACTGCCTTGGGAGTTCTACCCGTGGCCTGCAGAAATGGTGTGATTTGCCCAATAACGACGTTTTTGTGTCAGTCCCTGGGAACTGAGTGGATAAGCGGGACTAGCGCTAAGTATGTAAGTCCCGACCCCTTCTTCCTTCGATTACTGTACCCGACACCTCCGAGGGCAGCGGTGTCGCGGGCGGGGAGCGAGGCTGACGGGTCTCGCCGCACCGAAGCCGCGCCCGGGCTGTCCCTGTCCCCGCCGGAGGGAGCCCGAGGATCGGCGGAGCGCGGCGGCGGCTCTCCCCACTCCGCGCGGGGATCCCGCCGGGAGTGCGGGGCGGGGACGCTCATCCCGACTTGCCCGATCCGTTCCTCCGGTTGGGCACATCCTGCGCGCCCTCCCGTTCGCAGCGAGGAGCTGCTTTACGTAGGTCTTTTTGTGGTGTCCTTCGACAGCAAAGTCCTTTCATCGTGCGCCTGGTTATGAATAGGAGCTGGTCTGACCAGAAGGAGATTCCTTTCCTAACTTAGCTCTTTGCTCTCCCCCCGCCCCATTCTTACCACTAACCTTTCCTGCTTTGCCCACCCAGGCCCTCCAAAGCTGGAAGTAAAATGGCTGTCAGGTTTTTTTGGTAGCCTGATTGAAAGGAGTGCAAGAAGCAGTTCAGGATGGGGGTGGTAAGAGGACCCTTGGCCAGACCAACCTTTCCTAGCTAGAACAGTGATTCCCGGCTGTAGCCATCCGTGTGACTTTGATTCCTCATTTATTGTCAATAAATTCGTAATTGACACAGGGGGAGTACCTACAGCATTTCATGTACTAATGACCGTGGTTCATAGATCAGCAAGGTCTGGAACTGGCTGTTATAGGTAGGGTAGTATGGGGTGAGATTTCCTTTAGTTGAACAGTGGACAAATGGAAAGCAAGTGTGCCCTAAGCAAGAGAAGTTTTCTTGGTGTAAAAGACTATGAGCTGTTGAACTGCTTGGGCATGACAACTGTGCCAGTTAATCCATGCTTTTCTAATCTACTGCCTTCTCTAATTTCCTCCTGTGAATTATTTGCTGCGAATTGATTGCTAAATGTTGTGTGGATTGTCAGTAATCAGGTGGCAAGACAGACATTCACTGTACATCTGCAGAGGGCAAGACAAGGTGGCAAAAGCCAATCATTAGGGTATGGGGTGCAGCTTGGACATGGGCAGTATTTGGAATTAATTTCTAACTCTTTTTTGACAGTTTACTTGCGGGAGTTTCTCCTGCATTATGTTGTCTAGAGCCTTCAGGCAAGATTGTTGTCTTTAGTCACTGT